AAAGTACTCAAGGAGGGACCTTACTCCCTTTTTGGTAAATCACTATATTTGAAGACACTCTCGGAAGACTTCACTTTTGATAGTGAAGAGTTTTTAAAGGTTTCAATATGGGTCAAATTCCCCCACCTTCCTATGCAAATGTGGGAGGAGGAAGTGATAAGTGAAATAGCATCAAGGGTTGGCATTCCAATAACAACCGATAGGGTGACTCAAGAAAGAGCAAGGTCACACTTTGCGAGGGTCCTTATAGCGGTGGATGCGGCTAAACCTCCACCTCTAAAGTTGAAGGTGAAGATTCCTAGTGGGAAGTTCCATATTCAAAGGATGATTTATGAGACTTTTCCCAATTATTGTTTTCATTGTAAAACATACGGTCATCACCCATTTACATGCAAAACACTTGCCGAGATTGAACAAAAAGAGAAACTACAAAGGATGAAAGCAATGGAGGAAGGTCATGGCCAACCAAAGTTGATCACCGAGGGTAACATTGAGGAAGGGCCAGCGGCAAACCAAGTTAATTCCGCGGCATTGAGTGGTAAAGCCGTGGCATGTGATGGCAACGACAATGACCCATCTACACGAAAAGAAGATCACCCTTTTCTTAAAGTGGTTAGACTTAACAAAAAGAGGAAGAAGCCAAAGAAGAAAATCCAAACAAGAGAAGAGGGAGAGCTTTTATCCGGGTATGAAACAACATTTGACTACACGGATGAACACATATTACCAAGGGTCATTAAAGATCTCAAAGACATATTTGATGACGAGGTTATAGTTGACATGTATGCGGAAGAAGCTAGAGAGCCTATAATCAAAGTCCAACATGTAGGAGATGTGGCCGAGCCTACAATAAGATTGGACCATTACCTTAGAGAGGTAGAAAAGGATATGCCCGAAGTTGTCTTCACCAAAAAATATTTTGAAAGCTTACCGGGAGTGGAAAAAGTGAACAAGGGTATATGTACACGGAAGAATTCATAGGGAGTGTATACCGGCTCTACCTTGATAGGTTCTTTGAAGATGGGCACCCTATGAAGAATGGAAGTAAAGTGAAGGATATGAGGAAGTTCAAAGGCAAAACAAATCGGGTGCTACATGATATTACGGAGGTCTATCTAGATGATGTTATTACAAAAATTGATTTTAAAGAAGGGAAAAAACCAGCTATACACCTTATGCATGATGAAGAGGTCAAAGAGCAAATGACAAGTTTGGACAATTATCTATCCATTGAAGGGAATGTGCGAAGCAAAGGCCTCACTTTCACTACATCTTGCCTTCGGTCACTCCCCGGAATCAAGCCTACGGATCAAGGGTATGCTTTCTCATCACTTTTCATGATAAATGTATATGAATTGTTTCTTTCTAGGTACAAGGGATGTGAGGAATACGGAGAATGTACCAAGCATCAAAGGGAGAGAATCCGAGGAAGAAAGGCGAGGGGGGGTAAGGCTAACCAATTTTAATGTTTATTGCATCATGGAACGTAAGGGGGCTTAATCTAGCCTCAAAACAAAACTCCATTGTCAACTTCATTCGTGTGAATAAGGTACGTGTCATGTGCTTACTAGAAACTAAAATGTCAAAAAATACTTTTGAGAACTTAATGAAAGTTAGGCTTCCTCTTTGGATGTCCATAACTAATTTTGACAATATAGGGGCTGGCCGTATAGCTATTATATGGGATCCTTCCTATGTTGATGGAGTGATTATTGAAGTGGACAAACAACATATCCACACTCGGCTTAAGTGTATGATCACACAAAGAATAATATATGCTACATTCATCTATGCTTTGTACACGGTTAGGGAAAGAAAGGAAATATGGAATCATATTAACGCCCTAGGTACTAACATTTTAGCCCCTTGGGCTATTTTGGGTGATTTTAATTGTGTGGGTGACCCTAGCGAGAGGCGTGTGTCTGCCCCCCCCCCCCCTCGGGTTACCTAATGAAAGACTTAAATGACATGAAAGTCCAAACTAACTTAATTGATGCCCCCTCAACCGGAGAATTCTTTACTTGGAATAGGGGTAACATACGGGCAAAGTTGGATAGAGTGCTTATAAACAGTTTTTGGAGTACTCAAAATGTTACATGTAGAACTCACTTCTTTGAAATGAAGCCGGAGTTTGACCATGTAGCTTCACTTACTTCTATAGGTAAGGTGAATAATGATGGCTCGAAACCCTTTAAGTTCTTTAACATGTGGCTTAAGCATGAAAATTTCAAACCAATTTTGGAAGGTGTTTGGTATAGGAATGTTGTTGGAACAACCCAGTTTAGACTTGTTCGAAAACTGAAATTGTTAAAACAACCTCTTAAACAACTAAACAACAATGAATTTAGTTGTATCACAGCCAGAGCAAAGGAATCCAAAAAGGAATATAAGAGGCTATATCAGTTAGCCCTCTTATCCCCTTTAGATGATGCTTTACAAGAGGAACTGGTAATTGCAAAGAAAATATCACTTTTTCTTAGGGAGGACGAGGATGCTTATCTAAAACAGAAAGCAAAGTCTATCCATTTGATCCAATCAGATAGATGTACTAGATACTTTCATTCTATTGTAAAGAAAAAGAATGCAAAAAACTCAATCGCATCCCTTAGATTAGAAGATGGAAGTCTTACTCAATCTATGGATCAAGTTGCAAATGAATTTGTTACATTCTTTAAGGGACTTTTTGGTACAAATATACCCTAAGTGAATTTTGATGCTAATGTGTTATCCTCGGGTCAGCTTATGGATCCCTCTATGGTTGGTAATCTTGTGAGTCCTATCACGGATTTGGAAATCAAACAAGCGTTGTTTGATATTGGGAATGATAAAGCTCCTGGTCATGATGGATACTCATCAGCTTTCTTCAAATCTAATTGGAGTATAGTTGTTGATGACCTATGTCAAGCAGTTAGGGAGTTTTTTGTCTCGGGTACCATGCTTAAACAGGTTAACCATACACTTGTTGCACTAATACCAAAGACTAATCACTCACCTACTGTATCAGATTTTAGACCGATCTCATGTACTAATGTTACTTACAAAGTCATTACTAAGATCTTGGCAGCTCGTTTAGAACCGTGCCTCCCTTGTGTTGTACATCCTTCACAAGGAGCTTTTGTGGATGGTAGGTTAATGTCTGATAACATTTTCCTTGCACAAGAGTTAGTGAAAGGTTATACAAGGAAAAGGGTGACACCAAGATGCATGATAAAAATTGACCTTAGGAAAGCATACGATACCATCTCTTGGGAGTTTTTAGAAAAGGTTTTTAGAGGATTAGGAGTGCCGGATCTTTTTATCAAATGGGTAATGGAATGTGTCACAACATCCTCTTTCTCTATTTCCATAAATGGTACTCTCCATGGTTGGTTTGAGGGGAAACGGGGGTTATGACAAGGTGATCCCATGTCACCCATGCTTTTTGTGTTATGTTTGGAATATCTTTCTCGGATGTTAGATATTAGGACCTCAAATCCTAATTTCAAATACCATCCACTCTGCTCACAACTGAAAATTACACATTTAGCATATGCTGATGATTTGATACTTTTCTCGAAAGGAGATTTCACTTCTATACAAATTCTTACAGATACTTTGCAAGAGTATAGCTTGGCTTCTGGTTTAATAGTTAACTATGATAAATCTAATATTTTTCTTGGTGGAAATGTAGAGAGTAGGCTGCCAAATATTCTTCAAATGGTTGATTTCCAGCAGGTGGCATTTCCGGTGAAATATCTTGGCATTCCCCTAGCGCCTTTAAAGATTTCAGTGGCCCAATTTGCTCCTCTTCTTGAGACGGTTACAGATTATATAAATGCTTGGAACACTAAATCTTTATCTTATGCAGGGAAAGTTGAGCTAATCAAGTCGGTTGTGCAAGGTGTACAATCTTTTTGGCTGGGTATCTTTCTGGTCCCAAAAACTACCCTTGATCGAATTGTTGGGATATGTCGTATATTCTTATGGGGTGGAAAACATTCTAAGGTGGCTTGGGAGGATATTTGCCTACCAAAAGAAGAGGGGGGCTTGGGAATAAAGGATACAAGGGTTTGGAATAATGCCTTGCTTTTAAGAACCCTATGGAATATCCATAAGAAGCAAGATAGCTTATGGGTTAGATGGGTTCATGGAGTCTATCTCCATGGGAGAGATGTGTGGACTTTTGTTCCACACACAAGGGACTCGCAATTAATGAAATGATTTGTGTTAATAAGAGACCAATTACTTGCTAAATTTTCATCTTTGGAAGAAACCTTGGCTTTTCTTGGAAAGTGTACTCATAATGGTAAACTTTCGTCTTCCAAAGTGTATGATTTATTAAGGGTTAAAGCTACACCTGGGGCGTGGATGTGTTTTATTTGGAAATCATATGTACCGCCTAAGTTCTCCTTTATTGCGTGGATGGCATTTAGGAATAAATTGGCTACTTTTGATAACCTATGTTTCCTTGATGTGGTGAATATTTGCCCTTTTGCAAGGGTGGTCCGGAGACGGTACCACACCTATTTTTGAATGTTCTTTTATAGGACAAGTGTGGGAGAAGATCAAACAATGGTTAGGACTTACAAGGAGCATGCCCACTTTGAGAAGCTCGGTCAAATGGATAAAAAAGGAGCAAAATGGAGCAAATTTGAAAGCTAAAGCTGTGAGGATATCTTTTTGCTACTCAATATATTGGATTTGGAGGACAAGAAACTCTATTCGGTTTGATGGAGCGAAACCAAGTCGTGAGGATGTTATTTCGCAAATCAAATTCATGGTGTATAAAGTCCTCTATTCTTTATACCCGGTCCATATGATAAACTTTTAAAACTCTTGGGGTTGGGGCAGCACCCATTTTTTACATGCCTTATGGCTGTTTTTGGGGTGGATAACTAACCATATTCAGTTAGTTATCAATTACATGGGTTATGGTATCCAAATGCTTGGATTGCCTATATTTGTGATATTTTGTCCATAGGTTGTACATAAACACTTTTGATGATTCTATATATATTTAGCTTTCATAAAAAAAATAGTAAGAGTACGAGTACAATCAAGACACACAGATAGCAATTGAAACAATAAAGAGTAAGATATAGATAGGAAGTATTTGCCTTACAATGTGAAAGGTAGAGATGTGATTTTATTAAGGGATAGAGTACAGATATTTCTTTATAAGTTTTCCCTTGCTGCTGCGGCCATTGCTTGATCATCCAATTCTTTCAATCTTTTCAGTTCTTCATTAACTTCTGCTCTTATTTTTGTGAGTTTGCCAGAACTTTGATAGGAAGCCCAGATAGGTGAAACCTTGCAGTCAAGATAATTGAGGACACCTTCATGGATGTTCTTTCGTGGAAGGATTCTCTTATGATACCAGTACTCAGCTTCCTCCAGTGATCCACCATGCCTGACTCTTATTCGACCATCTCTGTCAAGGTAGAGATTCTGTCGCTGAGTAGGAGTCATCTTCTGTTGAATTTCTTCAAATTGGGCTTTGTCTATCTTCTTAGATCCTCCTAATGTCCATTCTCTGAAGTTTAGAGCTTTCTTCTTCTTGGATGTGTATCTTTGAGGTGAAAAGGAGTGCTTGGCCATACCCACAACTTCTTTCTTCTTTTGAATAGAAGCCTGAAAGTAAGGGGCTGGATCAACACCAGTAGAAGGGCCAGCTGAGATTCTGGGAGGTTGCTTCTTTTTCTGCTGAGGATCCTCTTCCCCCTTTTTGGCATCATCCAAGTCAGAGATCATCATAGCTATCCTTTGAAATTCTGAGGCCTGAGATCTAGCAATTTGCTCAAGGGCTTCTGGCAAAGTTTGCGTGACAGAAGTGAGGCCTTCTATCAAACCCTATTGCTTCTGAATAGCTGAGGCAACATCCTTAGAGCTTGCTTCAAGTAGAACCAATTTCTGGTATCTTTCTTTGTCAGCAGCAAAGAGAGTTCTGGCTTGATCTCTGTGAACTTTGCACAGTTCCTCAATGTCCAGCAACTGTTCCTTAGTCTTAGTATCAGACCATTGAAGCTCTTCAACATTCCCAGAGATGGTTTCAATAGCTTTGCCTTGAGCCATCAAGGTCTGGTGAAAGGTGAATAGAGTTTTGTGGATACCTTCTAATTCAGTTGAAAGGGCATCTGTTTTGGCAGAGGATGAGGCCATGAAATTGTTGAGAGATTCTGATAGTGCAGCAAAGCGGTCTGAAATGAACTGCATCCCAGAGTTGAAATTATCATTCACATGAGACAGGTGCTCGAAATGCTTGTCATTAATCTGAATGAGTTTGTCCATTCCTTCCGATACCTGACCACCAAACTCTTCTGCAGTATGAACAAACTGATTGAATGGTATTTGAGGTTCTGTTTCTTCAAAACCAGGCATTCCCAGTCCTCTTGACTTGGGCATTGGGGGCCTTGTGGGCTGTTGCTTACTCTGAGGAGGAGTCTTTCTTTTCTTAGATGTGGCCTTGTTTTATTTGCTAACAATGAATCCATCATTGCTAGAAGCACCAATGCTAGAGAGGTCAATATGAACCTTGAGGTTGACCGGGTTCTGATTGGATGCAGCAGAGTGTTGAGGTGAGAGGTGAGAGTTGGCAGCTTTGGGTGCTGATCTCTGTGGGGAAGGGTTGGAGTTTTGGATTTGTGATGGGAGGGGGTTCTCTGGTGGGGGGAGACATTCTGAGGTGAAGTAGATTTCTGAGGGTGAGGGGAGAAAGGAGGTGAGGGAGAGCGGTTTCTGTTGGATTGGGTTGGTTTACAAGGTGTGGAATGTTTGGATTGAGTTTTCTGTTTAGAGGGGGTTTTCTCCTTGGAGGGGGTTGATTTGGGAGTTGGGTTTCTGATATCGGAGGGACTCTGTTGAGGGGTGATTTTCTGTTGGGGTGAAGAGTGGTTGTCTGTTGGTGAAGTTTTCTGTTGAGATGGGGATTTCTGGTGAAGAGATTGTGGTGGAGTGGTAAAAGGAGTTGGGATTTTGGGTGTGGGTTGTGATTGAGGAGGTGATTTAGGAGGGGAGGGAATTTGAGGTTCTGTATGAACAGAGGGGGATATAGGGATTACCTCAAGTACAGTTTCCTCGAACTGTGAATCCCTCCCTTCTTTGATTAGCTTCTGCATAGCTAGAGGTAGATCATTCGCAGAGGATGGTTCTCCTTCTCCTTGATTACTGTGACGAAACCGAATCAAGGATTCTTTACGTTTCTTCTCAATCAGTCATTCATCAAAAGCAGCCATTTCATCTTCTGCTAAGGCTTTTATAGGTTTCTCGGCATCAAAATGTGTAAGAATGGCCTTTCCTTTGTAGATCTCCTTCTTCTTTTCTGCTAAGACAGTTAAAAGGAAATCTTTGTTGAGGCACTGCTCAACGTCTTCTCTATTTGCCCACTTGAGGACTTCTGATTCCTCATTGATAATGTGAGGGAGCTTTCTCATCAGCTCTGAGAGAGGTCCCACTCTCCACTTCCTCCAAGCTACCACCCTGACAAACTGATTGTCCAGGGCAGAAGTGATCTTTTCCTAAGGTTCTGAAGGCTCAGGGTGTAACACCCCAACCCCGCAGGACCCGAGGTAGTTACTCCTGACCTCTAGTATTGTCCTCACAAACCGCCACTAGCCTTTTCCGCGCACTTTGTCCTCATTCGTGCGCGCCCTAAGAAACTTCCCAGGGGGTCACCCATCCCAAGATTACTCTCGTCCCAGCACGCTTAACTTTGGAGTTCTTAGATGATGAGCTCCCTTAAAAGGAGATGCATCTTGTTGGTATGAGTAGTACTTTTAATCCTCTTAAATTAATCTCGGGTATTACAATCACCCCCACTTAGGATCGCAACGTCCTCGTTGCGCTCTTAAACCAATCTCAATCAAACCCCAGAATCTTGCCCCGCTAAGTGCCCGCCCGATATCCAACGAGTCAGCACACTGTCGCAGGGTTGCTCTGATACCACTTGTAACAATCTGGCTCCGCAGGCCCCGCAGGCCCCGAGGTAGTTACTCCTGACCTCTAGTACTGTCCTCACAAACCGCCACTAGCCTTTTCCGCGCACTTTGTCCTCATTCGTGCGCACCCTGAGAAACTTCCCAGGGGGTCACCCATCCCAAGACTACTCTCGTGCAAGCACGCTTAACTTTGGAGTTCTTAGCTGATGAGCTCTCTTAAAAGGAGATGCATCTTGTTGGTATGAGTAGTACTTTTAATCCTCTTAAATTAATCTCGGGTATTACAATATTGTAATACTTGAGATTTAATTTAAACGGATTAATAGTACTACTCATACCAACAAGGTGCATCTCCTTTTAAGGGAGCTCATTAGCCAAGAACTCCAAAGTTAAGCGTGCTTGCACGGGAGTAGTGTTGGGATGGGTGACCCCCTCAGAAGTTTCTCAGGGCGCGCACGAGTGAGGACAAAGTGCGCGGAAAAGGCTAGTGGCGGTTTGTGAGGACAGTACTAGAGGTCCAGAGGGTAGGTCAGAAGTAACTACCTCGGGGCCTGCGGGGCTGGGGTGTTAGAAATGGTATCACAGTAACCCTGTGACAGTGTGCTAATCCGTTGGATATCGGGCGGGCACTTAGCTGGGGAAAAGATTCTGGGATATGATTGAGATTAGTTTATGGGCGCAACGAGGACGTTGCGTTCCTAAGTGGGGGTGATTGTAATACTTGAGATTTAATTTAAACGGATTAATAGTACTACTCATACCAACAAGGGTCATCTCCTTTTAAGGGAGCTCATTAGCCAAGAACTCCAAAGTTAAGCGTGCTTGCACGGGAGTAGTGTTGGGATGGGTGACCCCCTCAGAAGTTTCTCAGGGCGCGCACGAGTGAGGACAAAGTGCGCGGAAAAGGCTAGTGACGGTTTGTGAGGATAGTACTAGAGGTCAGAAGTAACTACCCCGGGGCCTACGAGGCCGGGGTGTTACACAGGGGTTCTGTTGATTTCAACTTCATGCTCTGGAGAGACCACTATCAAAGGCTGATCTGGTATAGCAGCAGAGGGGGAGCTTTGATGTTCCTCCTGAGTAGTGGTATCCTGCACCACCACTTCATCTTCTGAGTCACTGGACTCAAACACAATTCTCTTGCTTAGCCAGGCATTCTTACTGCGTTGAGTTGTAGGAATGGAGTCTTCAAGTTTCCCCGACTTGCAGGAGTCACAACTCTGGCCTTCTTGGCAATGGGGGAGGCAGAGGGTGTGGATTTTGGAGAGGTTTGCTTCCTCTTGATCACAGCTTTCTTTGCCACCAGCTTCTGGGCTTTAGCTGGGGCAGCCTTCTTTGTGACACCCTTCTTCACAGGCTTTCTGATCAGAGGCTCTTCTTGCTCAGATTCTGAGGGGGTGGAGGGTTTCTGTTGCTTCTTCACAGCCTTCTTGGGCTTGACCACCTTCTGTTGGAGTTTCTCTCTGTTGAACTCCAAGGTCCTCAACCTTTTCTGCTCTGCTCTGAGAGCAACCTTCCTATCACTGGAAGTGTTGAGCAAGAGTAGTTTGGTGTAGTCTGCATCGATAGGGTTTCTTAGCCCTATTCTAGCTTTCAGTAGAAGTTCTGATAGGAGAAGACCATAACCCATAGGGGTTTTGAAGAAATTTGTGTCCTTGGCCTTCTTTTTGATAAACTAAACAAGGGACTTGATGATCACTTGTCCCCAGTTGATGTTCATCCCATGATGAACAGCGAAGACAGCCTTTGCATTCTGGACCGTCATGTCATCAGTAGAGGTGCTCTTGCTCCAGACACACCTGTGGAAAATGTTGACTAGTTTCTCATAGTCACTCTGCAGCAGATTCTTCTTCATGTACAACTTTGGGACACTTTCCACTCCTAGACGGCAATAGAGTTGAAAAAATGGTCAATAGTGACCTTGATACTGTCTAGGGCAATGAACCCTTCAGTGTCTTCTTCATGGGGGTCCTCCACTACCCCAAAAAGAGCGTTGATAGTCTCCGAAGTGAGAGTGATGTCATCTCCATTGACATGGGAATTGATGGTTTCTCCTTCAAATGTGGCGTTGAGATAGAACTCGGCCACATCCATGGTGCTGTAGGAGTTGAACTGGTATCCTACCACCTTATCCAGTGTGGAATCCTTCATTCCCTGGATGATTTTCTTCATCGTTTCTTGGTTTGCTGCGAGTTCAGGAAGTGCTGACAAGTCGCAGTTCATTCCTGTGTAAATATTTTTTACCAGGAGTTTGATTTTCCCAGCAGTTAGGTCGTTGATGTTGATGAAAGAAATTGCATAGAGTTTTTGAGATTTTGAGAGCTTGAGAGATATGGAAGTTCGAAGATTTGAGAGTAATGGGAGCAGTAGCGGTTTAGGTTGAAACGAGGGGAATATATGGGTTCGGGTTAGTGGACGTTTGAGATTATTGGCGGTTTCGAGGTACCAATAAATGAAAATAGAGGCATAATAAATGTTTTGCGGCAGTAATACCGTTTAAGGGTAAAAGGGTAAAACACCTTCATTAAGTTACTAGGTCACCCGTTACATCAAAATATTTCTAAGATCACAACCTTCTGTTGGTAAGAGGAGGGTTTCTGTTGCTCAGGTGTTCTGGATGGAATAGAGGTTTTCTGTTCAAAGTAGAGAGTAGAAGGGTTTCTGCAACAGAGGTTCTGTTAACAGGGAATATGTAACAGAAGATCTTCCTTTCAACCTTCTCTGGGAATTTCATCCATCATTCCCAATTCCTCTCTCAGCTTGTTGAATCTAGCCTCGGGCAAAGGCTTTGTCAAAATATCTGCAAGTTGGTCTTCTGTTGACACATGCTCCATGCATATGTGCTTCTTCTCAACATGATCTCTGATGAAGTGATGTCTGATCTCAATGTGCTTTGTCCTGGAGTGTAGAACTGGATTCTGAGTGATGGCAATAGCACTTGTGTTGTCACAGAGAAGCTTGATCTCCTTTGCTTTGAATGCCATAATCCTTCAGTTGTTGCTTCACCCAGAGTAGCTGAGCACAGCAACTCCCAGCTGCAATGTATTCAGCTTCTGCTCAACTGGTTGAGATAGAAATCTGCTTCTTGCTAAACCAGGAGACAAGTCTCCCACCTAGCAGTTGGCAGTGACCAGAGGTGTTGTTTCTGTCTAATTTGCAACCTGCAAAATCTGAGTCAGAGTAACCAATTAGTTCAAAGTTACCTCCCTTGGGATACCATAGGCCTGCATTTGGTTCTCCTTTATGTATCTGATGATTCTTTTTGCAGCACTTAAATGGCGCTCCTTGGGCTTTGATTGGTATCTGGCACAAATTCTAACAGAGAAGGAGATGTCTGGTCTGCTTGCAGTTAAGTAGAGAAGAGATCTAATGATTCCTCTGTATGTTCTTGCATCAACATCTTTTCCTTCATCATCTGGTCCAATTCCTTGAGAGGTGTTCATGGGAATCTTCACTGAGGATTTGCCTGTTACTCCAAATTTCTTGATCAGGTCTCTTGTGTACTTCCGATCCCTTAGTTGATAAAGATTCCTTCTGGAACTTGTTTTACTTGCAGTCCTAGGAAGTAGCTCAGTTCTCCCATCATACTCATTTCAAATTGACTCTGCATAACTTGAGAGAATTTCTTGCATAATTCTGCGTTAGTACTTCCAAATATAATATCATCAACATATATTTGTACTAACAGAATATGGTTAGCAACAGAGATTTGAAATAGAGTTTTGTCAACCTTTCCCTTAGTAAACCCATGGTTCACTAGGAATAGGGACAATGTGTCATACCATGCTCTGTGAGCTTGCTTAAGACCATAGAGGGCCTTTCTAAGCTTGTAGACACAAGAGGATTGAGTAGGAATGACAAAACCTAGTGGTTGTTCCACATAAACTTCTTCTTCAAGATCTCCATTCAGAAATGCACTCTTGACATCCATTTGATAGACCTTGATGTTGTTGTAGGCAGCATAGGCTAGAAAGATTCTGATGGCTTCAAGTCTGGCAACTGGTGCAAAAGTCTCATCAAAATCAATTCCTTCTTCTTAATAGTATCCCTTGGCTACCAGCCTTGCTTTATTCCTTACAATGTTGCCTTCTTCATCAGCTTTGTTCTTGAATACCCATTTGGTTCCAATGATATTCTGGTGCTTTGGTCTAGGAACTAGCTCCCACACTTTGTTCCTTTCAAATTGAGTGAGCTCTTCTTGCATTGCATTGATCCAGTCTGAGTCAGCAAGAGCTTCTTCTACAGTCACAGGTTCCATTTGAGATATGTAGCAGACAAGCATTGCTTCTCTTCTTGTTGTAGCAGATCTGGTCTGTACTCCACTTCTGATTTGTCCAATCACTTGGTTAGGAGGATGATCTCTTAACCATGTCAGATCAGGTTCTTTTAGTTGCTGCCTGGGTCTCTCTGGTTTCTCTTCTTCTGAATCTTCATCTTCATTCAACAGAAGGGGGTTTGGTGCAGGTGTTGGGAACACTGGATTGACTGCTACCTCTTATGTTGACTCAGGTGTTCTGTCATCTAAATTGACTTCCTTGAGAGTCTCTTTTACTTCTTCAACAGAGATGCTATCATCAAACATTACATGTAGATTCTTCAACATGTAGAGTTCTTCTGTTGAGTACTCTAAAGGCTTTACTGGTGCTTGAATAGCCTATGAATACACCTTCATCAGCTTTCTCTTGAAATACTTTTAGATGCTCCTTTCCATTGTTGAGAATGTAGCATTTGCATCCAAATACATGAAGGTAACTGATGTTAGGTTTTCTTCCTTTCCAAAGTTAATAAGGGGTCTTCTGGTGATTCTTGTTGATCATACTTCTGTTCTCGGTGTAGCATGCAGTGTTGATTGATTCAGCCCAGTACCTTATAGGTAATCCAGATTCTGCAATCATTGTCCTTGCAGCTTCTTTCAACGTTCTGTTTCTCCTTTCTGCCACGCCATTCTGTTGAGGTGTTCTGGCGGCAGAGAGTTGATGAAAGGTTCCATTCTGATCACAGAAGTCCTTTATGAATTGGTTGACAAATTCAGTTCCTCTGTCAGACCTGATTGTCCTGACCTTCAAATGCTTCTCAGTCTGAAGTTGCTTTAACAGAGATGGCAACTTCTGAAGAGTTTCATTTTTCTTTGACAAGAAGATTGTCCAAGTGTATCTAGAGTAGTCATCAACCATGACTAGGGTGTACTTCTTGCCACCAACACTTGGAGTCTCAACTGGTCCAAATAAATCCACGTGGATCAGATTTAAAGGACTTGTAGAGAGATCTCCAGCAATGGGTTTGAAGGAGTTCTTCTGTTGTTTTCCCTTCTCACATGCACTGCAGAGGGTCTCTTTCTTGTAGACTATGTCTGGCAGTCCTTCTACAATGTGTTCTCTTGCCAGTTTGTTGATTGTTTTGAAATTCAAATGGCTAAGCTTCTTGTGCCAGTCCTAGCTTAGTTTTGAATCTCCTTTGGCTATCAGGCATACTCCATCTTTTGCAGTTTTCCAATCAACTACATAGATATTCTTCTTCCTTGTTGCTGTAAGAAGCACTTCTTTTGTTGTCTCATGCTTCACATAACAGAAGTCCTTTGTGAATTCAACAGTGTAGCCTTTGTCACAGAATTGGCTAGCACTTAAAAGATTGAACTTCAGGCCTTTGACATAAGAGATATCATCAATGACTATCTGGTCTTGATCACTTTCCCTCTTCCTTTTATTTGACCTTCTTTATCATTACCTCCAAAGGTAACTCTAGGTCCTTTGCATTTCTGGAACTCTGTTAGGCAACTTTTGTCACATGTCATGTGCCTGAAGCATCCACTATCAATAAACCATTCTTGCTCAGAGATAGCTCCAGCACACAGTTCCTGCATGATCAAAAGAAAGATTTAGTGTAACACTCCCCATTTTTCCCGCCCAAAAATACATTTAAATAATGATTTATTTAAAGGAATTATAAACTTTATTTGAAAACATCAGAGATATAGCGGAAGTCTTAATAGGGAAATGGGTGTTACCGCCACATCCGGTCATCTCTTAACCGAATGCAAAGGCAAACCAAAACAAAACAATAAAACTAATGTCATAATAAATAAATGTTTATTTCTTGACTAGGTTTGACTAAGGCATCTTCTAAATCGCTCTCAGGTTCAAGCAACCAATCAGTCAACATAAGCTTCCAACTCGTCACCTGTTAAAAATTAAGGGAGGAGAAAGGAACAAGAAAAATAACAAAAATTAGCTTTAGAGCTAAGTAAGTACTACCCAACCCCGTAAAATAATCAGGTTTGGCGAAAATAGTTTTTCATATAATACTATATAAAAATACTCACACCACCAAAATTCTTTTCAAATCAAAAACATCATTTATCAACTTTATAACCTCAAATACCCGTATAGTTAAAAATACTACGTATATGCTCCAAACAATTAACATCTCAAATAAAAGTATCACTCTTCAAAATATAATTTTTTTAGCTGAAAATACCATCATTTCAAAATCAATGTCACTCTTAGATTCTTTTAAGATGGGCGAAACTCAAAATTCCTTGAGTCCAATGAATCGTTGTTGTGTACGACTCATCCCAGAATTCCGGCTCCCACCGACCACCAATTGGAAACTGAACTTCACCCTTAAGTGTGCACACCCCCTAAAAGGGATTCCAAGCCCTCCGAGTAGTAAGAAGTCCAAGTAGTTCAGACAACGCCCCCCTACCTCATAATGGGTTAGAAACCCGGGTGATTAGAAATTACTACCGCGGCCACCAAAGAACTTTTAAAGTTGTCAAAAGAAATACAGGGTGTTGGTCCCGGTTATACTGGATACAGTCTAGAGGGGGGGGGGGGTGAATAGACTGTATTGGTTTTTAGCTTTTTAAACTAAGTACCAGATTTACAGAATAGCCTGTTCTGTTGAAAGAACAGACTGGCAGCGGATGGGGTTCTTGTAGGGAGTTCTGTTAGCCTCAGAGAAGCAAAGGCAGTAGGCCTTCTGTTAACTCGTAGAACAAGTTCTGCTGAACACAGATACCAAGTCCAAGGAGTTAGACAGTTCTATCTAAGTGCAAATATAAAAGCAGTAAGTAAACGACACCAGGGATTTTTATAGTGGTTCAAGGAACAACTTGTTCCTCTAGTCCACTGTTCCACTAAACTGTAAAAACTGCCGTTTACAAAGCCTTAGTCCTAGTACTTAAGAAAGCACTCCACGTCTTCTTCAAGTCTAGATGTGTCCTGGGATGCACTGCCTGACTTCCTTTAACACTGGTCCTTTCACTGAGTTTCCTTGAAGTATCACCACTTCACTACTCCAGTTACTTGGACGTCCTTCTTGTAGCAAGAAGAGTTTCTGTTGAAACTGGGGTTCCTCCAACTATCTTCGTTACAAAGGATTTGTATGTGATGAGCTTGAAGAGTTGAAGAACACTTGGAACTTTGCTTGAGTTGGAAAAAGTATTTTTCCAACTTCTGCCTTCTCTTGTAGAAGATAAAGAGTTTGAATCTCAAGGAGGCTTTTTGCTTTTTCAGAGTTTGAATATCTTGTTTGTAGCAAATGTTATCTTGGCAAAGTTGCAAAGTTATCCGGTTGTTCTTCGTAGTGTATCTTTTATACTGAGGTTGTCTTCCCGTTGGAGGAGTAGGAGGACAACTGCATTTAATGCGCGATCAGTTGACTTGACTAGTAGAGCCCGGTAAAGTTGGCGGGTTACTATTTTGGGATAAAGTATTCCTGACATTGCGGCCAATCGTCTGCAATTACTCTACGTAGCATGGGGTGCATTAAATGAGCATTTAATGCATGTACTGTAGCTTTTCCGTTTCATACTCCTAGCCGTTGAAGGAATCTTTTAGTTGACTTCCCGGTTCTTTGAAATTCTTCTAAGTGTCAGACCTTCTGGTGTCTTTATCTGAGAGTAGAACAGAGGAGGTCTGGAGCACTTCTGTTGAGAGAATGTCCAACAGAGACCCAGAAGGGTTTCTGTCAGAGTAAAGGCTAACAGAGACCCTGAGGTCATCTGTTCCGGAGCAGAGAACCAAAGGTCCTCTGTTACAATAAAGCCTTACGAGGCACTTCTGCTCTTGAAGTCCTTCTGCTCTTGAAACCCTTCTACTCTTGAAGGTCTTCTGTCAAGTCGATTATTCTAAGAACTTTACAATGGAAAATTCTAATACATAATTTCTAAAGGGGTACTTTAAAGTCCTAATTAATCTAGCATCATCAAAATCTAATTACAATTATTCCTTACACCGGGAATCTCCCGCCACCAATATTTACCGGGATTTCTCCCGCCACCAATAATCATCATAAACCTAAACTAAACTCGCGGTATATAGCTCTAACCACACACACCTCGTGTTTCTCTCGAGATGTCAATAATCATTATAAAAACATTATTCATTCTTGTAAAATCATTTCTATATACATAGTCTTGTAAAATATCCATTTAATGGATACGTCCACCAAGAATCCACATTCATAAATACTCCAAAATTCTTTTACATAAAAATTCACTCCAAAGTCATACTAGGGATTAAATCCCAAAACATTTCTCAAATTCTTAGTCACCCCAAATGGTACACATTCAAAATTCACAATTAATCAAATAATGCATAATAAGCATATAATACGAGAAAACAATTTTGGATTGACAGAGAAACTTACCTCAAACTTCAAGTAAAATCTTCTACATTGCTCCACACTCAATTCACCTTCTATTAAGATTCAAAAATCAATATTCTATCAACTTATAGTTAATATCTTCTACCCTTTACTTATTAGTTCCTCTTCTTATATTTTAATTGTCTCAATAATAATTAATCATTATAAATCCATAATACTTTAATTATGCATTATATTAATCCCATTTAGTCTAACTTAAAAGGTCCAATTTATAAACTACAATCTAGTTGCCCAAACTATTGGTGTCAAGATTAAAGCAGTACGGAATATATATGCGGGTACATACGTACTGTAGCTCTCTTCTTCGTTGTTATCACGCAGTACTGGCGGCGCAGGGCTGGTTTAGCGATGGTGATGGTCGGCGCCTAGTTCTTCTGGTGGCAACGGCGAGATGGTCAGTGGCTACGCAGAACGGCGTAGCTTTCCTTTCCCACTCCAGCGTGCAAACAGTCCGGCAAGTTCCGTCTTCTACTCTTCCTCCAGCGTGAAAACTTCACAGAAGAAACCAGCGCCTAAGAAAGAAATCGTTGAGAGAGTCTCTCTCCTGGGTCTTCCGACCTAGCTCAATTTCCGTTCAACTCATGGCCTGCGTCTCCCGTTTTCGTGCGATTGCTGGTTGAAACCTGGGGTTTTTCTTGCTGGTGGTAGTCGGATTCACTAGAATCTCAGTTTGGAAGGTGACTTTTAGCCAAACAACGAAGAATGCAGACCTAATGCGGCAAACTACGAACGACTACTGTTCACGGTTGGTTCGCTCTGCTTTTTCGCTTCTTGCTGATAATTTGTGTTGTGCTGCTGCTTTAAGGGTCATCTCGAATTGAGCTTTGTTTGTTCGATGACTGGCTCTTTTCTCTGCGATTTTGGCCCTTTACTTTGCGATTTTGAGTATGCGAGGTTGACTACTGCTTTGTTTGAATGAGTGCTGGATTTCTGTTTTGACTGCTGCGTTTTTGCCTCTGCGTTTTGGGCTCATAAGCCATTTGTGTATACTTTGAATCGTTTTTGTTACTGCTCCCTACTCTGTTCCTCTGTTGCAATTCCTAAATTTTTGGGAGTCTGAATTTGAGATATCTGATTTTGGTTTCCCAATAGCTGATTTCGCCTTCCTTTTGTCTTTGGGGGGAAGAAACGGGCTAGACAGTCTGTCATGGGGAAAAAGAAAACAACATTCTGTGAATCTTCTTCCAGACTTACCAGGTCTAAGGCTGGAAGTTTTGAAATTCTGGCAGATTGTGATGATGATTTCCCTACTTTGGGAAAATCTTTAGCTTCTCCTGGGAATTCTGAAAATGTTGGAAGGCCTGTTTCAAATTTGAATGGTAAGACTGCCACAGGAGGTTCTACTGCTGTAAGTTTGACCCCTAGCAAGGCGGCTGCTACTATTACTGGGAAGCCAACTCAGACAAGGGAACAGCCTCCTGCTGTGGAAAACCTTACTGCGGGAAATGGGACTCCTGGAATTGAAAAGGGTGCTGTTGCACAAACTGAAATGAATGCTACTGCAGTAACTAAAGCTCTACTGCCTGCGGTTAAGCAGCCTGAAATAAAGCGTAAAACTACAACTCCCATTCCGTGGAATGCTTTGTTTAAAGACAACCGTGACCCTAGGCATGGAATCAAATTGAGATATGTACCCCCCAAAGGAGATACATTGGACTTTGGGGACCGTTTATTGCCATCCATGGTTGATATGTGGGGTTATTGCCTAGTCGGACACTTCACCGGGAAATTCCCCGGACTCAAAACGGTTCATGATCTTAAAGTTAAATGGAGTGTTCCATGCCTTGTGAGATCCCACAAAAAAGGTTGGGTGATCTTTAAATTTCATAATGAGGATGATAGATCTAAAGTACTACTTGGAGGACCATACATTGTGTTTGGAAAACTCCTTATGCTCAAGGAACTCTCGGAGAATTTTTCTTTTGAAGATGAGGAATTTCTTAAAGTTCCTATTTGGGTCAAATTCCATGATCTACCACTACAATTATGGAATGATGAGGCCATGAGTGAGGTGGCATCCATGGTGGGGGTTCCATTAACTACTGATAAGATCACCCAAGAGAGGATTAACAATGATTACGCTAGAGTCTTGATAGAGGTTGACGTGTCTAAGCCACCACCACTATTGTTTCCTATACGACTACCTTCCCAAAAGGTAATCAAACAAAGTGTGGTTTATGAAACTTTTCCTAGTTATTGTTTTCATTGCAAAGATTTTGGGCACAACCCATTTATTTGTAAGAAGTTTTCTAAAAGTGGGGCTGGGGTTGAAAAGGAAAAAGAAAAAAATGTTGTTACACTTGATGAAATTGAAGGTGTTGGTGCTGCTTCAGGTCGGCCAGATTCTGCCCAGGGGCTTAACCTGACCGGGTTGGCCCCAAACCCGACCGGGCCTCCACTAGTTTCTGCCCAGGTTCCTCCGCCCAGGACCATGGACCCGACTGGGTCTGGCGGACAGAGTGCAAAACAGGGGCCTGCTTCCCCGGCTATTGATCAACGCCCGATCGTGCTCCCGACTGGTGACCAGAATGATGCTAAGGTGAGGATAGTGAGTAAGGAAGGTGAGTTGAAAAAAGATGATGTCTTTAAGTGTGATATCATAGATGGTAAGACACTCAATTTGTTTGTCAAACCACTTAGACACGTCCAAGCTAGTGTCACTAGAGTGGATAGATTCCTTCAATTTACGGATGATTTGGATAAGAGGGGCCTAACTTTCACCGATCAGTGTATTGAGAGTTTGCCGGGATTTACTATGAAGAAAGGGGAGGTTGACTTTGGCGCAAAGTTTGCTAATCCTTTCCATGTCTTCTTTGGATGTTAAGCTTGATACTCCTAATATTTTGGTGAACTGTTTTGCTGAAGTTTAGTTGTTCCTATGAGTTTCTAGGTTCAATTTGTAGACTTTTGTTGATTCCTATTTTGATGTTGTGATATCCCGTTTTTCGGGATATGCACTTTGCTTGTAACATTGACTTGTTATTTCTTTGGGTGTTAATATATACTTACATTTCATCAAAAAAAAAACTTCACAGAAGTACTGCGACGTGCGCGCTACTCATCTTCTGAAGACTCTGGTAACGAAGGAAACGGAAAACGGTAGTATGTTGGTGGCACTCCGGCAAACGTTTTTCTTTTTCTCCGGCGAGTATGTGGTGTCCTTGTGTCCAGCGTTGCTTTCTCTGCGGTGCGGCTTTTTCGTCGGCCCTTAATGGGAGTAGGTTGATAGCAGGCAATGACGTTCAACATCAGTAGTCCAGTCCGGCGACAGCAACTGCGGCCTCTCTCCTTCCTCCAGCATGAGCGCAGTCCGACGAGCTCCTTATCTTCTACAGCGGCCGACGGCGCTCTCCCTCTCCACCACTCTCTCTCGTTTTCTTTCGTTTTCAGTTTCATTCTTTGTAGTTTAGGAACAATTTTTTTCTACATATAGCAGTAATATAGGTTCGGTTTCGCACAAGTATAACTCTGGTGTTTCACGCACATATATAGGTCGTTTAATCGGAGGTTGTTTGTAGTTCGTACGAGACTGTTTGTTTTCATCCGATATGGCTTCTTCCATCCGTTGCTGCTGCGACTCCTTAATTATTTTTGTTACTACTACGCATGTATGCGTATGTATATGAATATATCATGATGCTTTTATGAGTTTATTATGTATGTGCATGTATGTAATACATGTATGTATGATATATGGACGTATGTGTATATTATATGGGTTGTATGAAGTATATGTATATATGTGCCTTACATGTTTAATGGTATATGAACGTATGTGTATAATATAAAAGTGGGGTATGGGTTGTATATTATTTTGTTATTATCATTTTGTTCTACGTATTGAAGTGTTGTTCTGCGTATTGAAGTGTACGATTAATTTAGTTTCTACGTTTTTTAAAAGTTCACTTTTACGACTAAATTTTATTTTACTAAATGAAATGTTTGATTCTCATCCAACAATATTTTTTTAACCTATACATTGTATCCCTTTTTTTAGGGTGTCACATTCTACCCTCCTTAAAATATGCTTCGTCCTCGAAGCATAAGCTAAACTGCTTAAACTAAGTGGGGGTGATTGTAATACTTGATATTTAATTTAAACGAATTAATAGTACTACTCATACCAACAAGGTGCATCTCCTTTTAATGGAGCTCATTAGCCAAGAACTTCAAAGTTAAGCGGGCTTGCACGGGAGTAGTCTTGGGATGGGTGACCCCCTGGGAAGTTTCTCAGGGCGCGCACGAGTGAGGACAAAGTGCGTGGAAAAGACTAGTGGCGGTTTGTGAGGACAGTACTAGAGGTCAGAAGTAACTACCTCGGGGCCTGCAGGGTCGGGGTGTTAAAGGTGGTATCAGAGCAACCCCGCGACAGTGTGCTCATCCGTTGGATATCGGGCGGGCACTTAGCAGGGGAAAAGATTCTGGGATATGGTTGAGATTGGTTTATGGGCGCAACGAGGACGTTGCGTTCCTAAGTGGGGGTGATTGTAATACTTGAGATTTAATTTAAACGGATTAATAGTACTACTCATACCAACAAGGTGCATCTCCTTTTAAGGTAGCTCATTAGGCAAGAACTCCAAAGTTAAGCATGCTTGCACGGGAGTAGTCTTGGGATGGGTGACCCCCTGGGAAGTTTCTCAGGGCGCACACGAGTGAGGATAAAGTGCGCGGAAAAGGCTAGTGACGGTTTGTGAGGACAGTATTAGAGGTCAGAAGTAACTAACTCGGGCCCTACGAGGCAGGGTGTTACATTTAGGTACCCAAGCAATGTTGGGTCCTCGGGGGTCATAGAGTCTGGGTAGTTGGTACCATTTCGGTGTCATCAAGTGAAACCTTGGTGGGTGGTACCCATTGTCCACCTGGTAGTCATAGTAAACCGAAGTGTGATTCACTTTGGGCAGATGGTTGTGAGGGTCATGCTTCCTATTTACATACTTTTGCATAGCTTTGTTGGTTGGAAAGAAGTCTCATATACTATCAAGAGCTGAGGGGCGGTTAGCTTTGGGCTTTTGAAGTTGACCAGCCAACCTCTTCTGCCTAAAGTTAACTTTCTCTTGATACCTGCCCTTCTGGTGATCATTTCTAGCACGGTTATCATGAGGTTGTCTGTTGGGGTGTGGTCTTTGATTTTTCTGAAAACCTTTTCTGTTGTTAGGTTTTCTGCCAGGTTCATTGATTTTCAAAAAGGGTTTCTGTTGTATCTTTATCTTTCCTTTTTCTGGTCTGACTTCCTCATGAATAACTTTGGTGCCAGATACACCAGCTTGGCAGATGGGGCTAGAAATCAGTGCCACTATGACCTTATCTGCCTTAGCAACACCGGTGTTAGGCATTACAGAAGGCTCACCTCATTCTGTTGAGCCATACCTAAGACCAAAACCAAAGCCAAACTGTTGATCAAGTACAATCTTTTCCATGAAAGACTGGGGCTTCTGGTAAGCTTTGTACTTAATCTCAAGAAGCTCAATTTCTCTTATTCTCTTGAGAAGAGAAACATTTTCAGCTTCCATCTGATCTCTCTCCTTAATTAGAAGATTGATTTTGATCTCAACCTCCTTTCTTAAGTCAAGAATCTCAACCTTAAGCTTATTGTTTTCTTCTGTAAGAGAGGAATAAGTTGCTTGGATGGCCTTAAACTCTTCCCAAAATTCTTACATTGAATCAGAATCAAAAGCTAAGCCTACCGAAGAAAAACTAGGCGTAGAAGTAGAGGTTACCTTATCATTAGAATGGGCCATGAGGCATATGTCTTCTGTCTCAGCATCCAGGCAACAGATGGCTCACCAGAATCAGAGTCAGAATTGGATTCTGTCTCAGAAAGAGGGTCTTTCTCAAGTTGTTCTGTGACGAGTGTTGTCCTCCTTCTAGTATTGTGTTCATATTTCTTTCTTTCTCCATCATGTCCTTGTCTTTTGGACACTCTTGGATGTGGACAATCTACCTTGAAATGTCCAGGCTGTCTGCAGTTGTAACAGAGAAGCTCTCCACTAGTGTCTGCAGACTTTGTCTTCTGGAATGGTTTTCTGCTGGAAGATGGACTTCTTCCATCTTTGGGATTCTTCATAAACTTCTTGAATCTCCTGGCAAAGACAGCCATATATTCGTCAGATAAAAGAATTGAAGGGTCAAAATCATTTACCTTAGATGTACTGGCTGTGAGAGCTGTAGTTGTCCTCTCCTCTGGTACATCTTCCTTCTCTTCAATCATCTCGAACTCATGAGCTTTGAGGTCTGAGATGAGCTTATCTGTAGGATAAGTCTTCACATCCTTGCTGGCTTGGACAACAACCACCTTCATCTTCCATGCTGAGGGTAATCCCCTCAACACTCTGAGGTTGATCTCCTTGGTGGTGAGTTCCTTGCCAAGCTCAGAGATTTCTCCAGTGAGAGTGAGGAGTTTGTCATACATCTTGGAGATGTTTTCTCCAGGGAGAAGCTTGAAATCATCAAACTTCTTGTTGGCAATGGTCAGTTTGTTGTCCTTCTCCTGCTCATCACCAGCTCCAATGAGCTCAAGAGTATCCCAGATTTCTTTGGCAGACTTGCACTTCTTTATTCTGTTGAAGTACCTATCATCAATGGACTTGTAGAGAATGTCCTTTGCAATATTTTCCAGATTGTACTTTCTCCTCTCTTCAGTGGTCCATTCAGACTTGGCCTTGTTGATCATCTGTGGCCTAGTCTGGTCAATAGCATGCTCAGGATTCACCTTCTGGAAGTTGGTGAAAGGTCCTATGTCAAGTACTTCCCACGCCTCATCATGAAGAGATCAGAGATGTGCCTTCATTCGGATCCTCCAGTCATCAAACTTAAGATTTGAAAATATAAGGTTCTTGGAAAGAGAGTGATCCATACTATGAGATTAAAACTGAGGCAAAAAGAAAACAAGTGGATCTTTGTTCAGCAAACAATCTAAGAGATCATTAGAACAAGGAGGCTCTGATACCACTTGTTGGTTCCGGTTGTACTAAGTACAGTCTAGAGGGGGTGAATAGACTGTACTGGTTTTTAACTTTTTCAAGCTAAGTACAAGATTTAACAGAATAGCATGTTCTGTTGGCAGAACAGACTGGCAGCGGATGGTCTTCTGGTAGGGGTTTTGTCCGGTTAGCCTCTAAGAGATGCAAAGGCAGTAGGCCTTCTGTTAACTCACAGGAGGGGTTCTGCTGAACACAGAGACCCAAATTCTGGAGTTAATCATTTAAAGATAAATGCAAGAATTAAAAGCAGTAAGTAAAAGATACCAGGGATTTTTATAGTGGTTCAAGGAACAACTCGTTCCTCTAATCCACTGTTCCACTAAGCTTGTAAAAAATCCAATTACAAAGCCTTGGTCCTAGCACTTAAGAAGCTCTCCACGTCTTCTTCAAGCCTAGATGTCTCCTGGGATGCACTTCCTTGCTTCCTTTAAGACTGGTCCTTTCACTGAGCTTCCCGGAAGTATCACCACTTCACTACTCCAGTTACTTAGACATCCTTCTCGTTTGAGAAGAGTTCTTGAAAGAACAGAGGTTTTCCAACTAGCTTCATTACAAAAGGTTTGTAGTTGAAGTGCTTGAAGATTTGAAGAACAGTTGGAACTTTGCTCTAGTTGGGGATATGAAGATAGAAAAAGATTATCTTCCCAACGTACGCCTTCCTTGTTGAAGAAGATGGAGATTTTGATCTCAAGAAGGCTTGTGCGTTTGAATGTTTGAGTGTTTCTGTTTGAGCACTGGGTTTTCAAAGTATCAGCAAACGTCCTTGTTTGATGTTCTTCAAGTAGTATCTTTTATACTGGGGTTGTCTTCCCGTTGGAGGAGGAGGACAACTGCATTAAATGCGCGAATAGTTGACTTGACCAGTAGGACCCGGTAAGGTTGGCGGGTTACTATTTTGGGATAGAGTTATCCTGAAATGTCTTGGAATGTCGGCCAATCATCAGCTTTTACTCTTCAGGGTACGGGGTGCATTAAATGTGCATTTAATGCGCGTACTGTAGCTTTTCGGTTGAAGTCTTCTAGCCGTTGAAGGAATCTTCAGATGGTTTCACCGGCTGTAGTAGTTCCATGAAAATTCTCTAAGTTTCAGGCCTTCTGGTGTCTTCAGCACAGGAGTTTGCCAGAGAAGGTCTTGAGCACTTCTGTTGGAGTAAGCTATCAGATGGTCCTGAGGTCTTCTGTCAAGGGCGAACTAACAGATAGTCATGACAGTTTCTGTTGAAGTGAAGTCCAACAGAGGGCCAGAGGGTTTCTGTCTGCGTACAGACTAGCAGAGACCCAAAGGTCTTCTGTTCAGACTAAGCCTATTAGAGGGTCTTCTGTCAGGAGGTCTTCTGTCAGTCGACTATTCTAAGAAACTTTACAAGGAAAATTTCTAATACAATAAATCTAAAGAGGGGGTACTCTAAGATCCTAATTAATATAGCATCATCAAAATCTAATTACAATTATTCCTTACAAAGGTTAAACGAGAGAGTTAGGCCATCGATGATTCTGGAAGTCTGGAACGGGTGAGCTGATGTGTTAGTCTCAAAATCAATCAACAATCATACAATATAATAGAAGGAGAGAATCACAGAATGATAGAAAAATATTTTAACGATGAACTCCCTCTTCCTTATACCGTATAAGCTCTCAGAAAGATATGAGCGTTAATGTGCGTGAGGCTTGTGTGAGTTAGGGTTTTCTTATGTTAGCATCCTTTTATACATAAGGATGTCTAACTTAAGGCTTACAAGTGGGCTAATGGGCTGAAATACATTT